GGGGAAGGGACGGGAACAACCCCCAAAATCCCGGGATTTGGAGGGGTCATCGTCACCTCTTCCCCCCGAAAATCCCGGGATTTTTGGGGGTCGTGATCGTTCCCCCCCCCCATTCCCGGAATTTTGGAGGGTCACGGTCGCTCCTTCCCGACCAAAAACATCCCGGGATTTTTGGATGGTCATCGTCATCTTTTCCCTCCGAAATCCTGGAATTTTGGAGGGTCTCGGTCACCCCCCTCCCGTCCGAAATCCCGGGATTTTGAGGGATTATCTTCAGGTCTTTCCACAAAAAGAAATCCCGGGGTTTGTGAGGATCAGGATCATTCCCACCCCGATCCTGAAATTCTGGGGGGTCACGGGCAGCCCTTCCCCATCCCAAATCCTGGGATTTTGAGAGGTCTCGGTCCTTCCTCCATCCTCTCCTTCCCGGAATTTGGGGGAGTTTGGGATTGGGGAATTTGCGGTCAGTGTGAGGAGTTTGGGATGGGGAGTTTGGGACTGGGGAGTTTGGGATCAGGATGGGAAATTCGGGATGGGGAGTTTGGGATTGAGATGGGGAATTTGGGATTGAGCCGGGGAATTTGGGATTGAGCCCTTGGGGTCGGGATGGGGACCTTGAGATCCTGAATATTTGGGAAAACCCCAAAATCCCACGGAATCCCTGCCCAGCCCCATCCCCATTTTCCCATCCTGGGAGAATCGGGAATCCCGAAGCCTCCTGGCCCCTGCCAGGGCTGGAGCCGTTCCCTTTCCCGTTGGGAATGTCTGCATTTTGGGATTTGTCGGGACGGTGGGATCGGGGCCAGCCCCGGGCGGTGCCGCGGCTCCGGGGCCGGCAGATGGCCGGGAATTAATTCCCTCCAAATCCTGGGAATTTAATCCCACACGGATCCCTCGGCAGCTGCGCCGGGATGGGGGCGGGAGCGGCACGGGGGCATCGGGAGTTTGGGATCAGGATGGGGAGTTTGGGATGAGGAGTTTGGGATGAGGATGGGGAGTTTGGGATGAGGAGTTTGGGATGAGGAGTTTGGGATGAGGAGTTTGGGATGAGGATGGGGAGTTTGGGATCAGGGATTTAGGATTGGGATGGGGGGATCAGGATCAGGAGTTTGGGATCAGGGATTTAGGATTGGGATGGGGAGTTTGGGATCGGGGATTTAGGATTGGGATGGGGAGAGTGGGATCAGGAGTTTGGAATCAGGATGTGGAGTTTGGGATCAGGATTTTAGGATTGGGATGGGGAGTTTGGGATCGGGGATTTAGGATTGGGATGGGGAGAGTGGGATCAGGAATTTAGGATCCGTGTGAGGAGTTTGGGATTGGGATGAGCAGTTTGGGATCCGTGTGAGGAGTTTGGGATTGGGATGAGCAGTTTGGGATCAGTGTGAGGAATTTGGGATCCCTGTGAGGAGTTTGGGATTGGGATGAGCAGTTTGGGATC